CCGTAGTAGCCTATGAAACGATGTCATAAAATTATATTAAAAAATAATCTAGGGCCCGGCGCGGTGGCACAAGTGGTTAAAGGTCCTCGCCTTGCACGCCCGGGATCCCATATGGGCGCCGGTTCTAATCCCGGCAGCCCCGCTTCCCTTCCAGCTCCCTGCCTGTGGCCTGGGAAAGCAGTCGAGGACAGCCCAAAGCTTTGGGAACCTGCACCCGCGTGGGAGACCCGGAAGAGGCTCCTGGCTTCGGATCGGCATAGTATCGGCCCGTTGCGCTCACTTGGGGAGTGAATCATCGGACGGAAGATCTTCCTCTCTGTCTCTCCTCTCTCTGTATATCCGCCTTTCCAATGAAAAAATAATAAAAAATAAATCTTTAAAAAAAAAATAATAATCTAACATAATAAAAATAAATAAAAAATAAATTGCCTCTGCTTACACAAAAAAGACAGAATCGCTATAAAAACAGCTAAAAGTAATATCATATATGGCAAAAAAAAAAAAACCTTGTGTTAGAAACTGGGTATAGAAATCAATCTTAAATACAGATACATCCAATAAAATATGCAGAGCTGCAAAGCAAATTGTTAGCACATAAGACAGAAGGTAGACATTCCAACAGAGTAATGGTGGATGACTTTCATAACCTGTTCTTATCAAGTCAGATAATTAAGAAAGAATATCAGGTAAGACACTGGGATAAAGAGTTAGCAAACTGAACTCTGCCAGATTCTTTTATGAAAGTAGCAATACTTTAATTCAAAGTGAATCATGTGACTGAAAGAGAAAATTTAATCCTATACCATATCACTAATAAGGATGCAAAAAAAAAATCAACTGTGAGGCAGATACTACTGAATCAAATCAAATCCTTAATAATCATAAATTAAGAGCAATATAAATTCATCTAACAAATACAGATGCAAATCACCTTATGTAAATCAATGTAGTTAAGAGTAGTATCAACAGGATGAAGAAGAAATTGGATGATTACCTGAACAGATATAGACACATCATTAGGACTCAAAATCCATTATTGTAAAGAAATAAGCAAAATTTTACTAATTAGGTTAGAGGAACTGTTCTCAAAATTGTCAGGTCAACAGTCTTTTCAAACTAAGTTGTCAGACACTGAAACTCCTCTTAGATCTGAATCAAACCAAGGATATCAACTTCTGCCATGCTTACCGGGAGGAGAAAGAAAGAAGTCGCTGGCTCAATAGAGAAAGAGAAGAAGTCCAATATTCATGTGTGCAGAGGACATGACGCTCTAAGTGGGAAAACCTAAAGAGACAAAGTTCATCACTGCCCTCATGTCTGTCCACCATAGGAACCTTTGCCATTGCCACATGTTCCTCTGTCACAGACTCCCATTCTCAGCCCATTATCATCACAGCTATATTAGCCAACTTCTGTTTCCCACACACATTTCAGGAGGCAGCTCTCACAGTTGATCCAACATCCAACATCCAACATCCAACACTTGCTAGCCAGAAATTGAAAAAATAAAATGGGTAAGGGACAGCTATAATAGGTCCACATTTAAAAGGCCTAAAATTATTTTTAGCTGGTTTGCAGTGAGCTGCTTAATTGTTGTTGTCTCAGAGTGGGGACAAACATTTTGAATACCTGTTACACATGAAGATACAGGAAAAGGATTCATCATGGTACTTAGAGGCTAAAGTCCTCACCTTGCACATGCAGAGACATATTTGTGCACAGGAAATTCTGTTGCCCATCCAGCTCACTGTCAGTGGCTTTGGAAAGCATTCAAGGACTGCCAATACCATTGGGATGCTGAGACTATGTGGGTGATACAAAAAAAGCTCCAGGTTACTGTCTTAGGATCTGCTCAGCTCCAGCCATTTTGGTCAGTTTGGGAATGTGTCAGCAGATGGAAGATCTTCCTCTCTCTCTGATCCTCTATGTACATCTGACTTTTCAATAAAAGCAAATAAAGCTTTATGAAATATTATAAGAAAAATTGCAAATGCCATTTGATGAGCACTGTGTTACAGGGCAACCCTGATGGAGAAGAAAAGCATTAGATAAACTACTCAATGAAATCCTGGAAATTTCACCAGGTATTAAATAATCCTACAATGAACCATGTGATTCTAGAGGTTCAAATCATTTCAACACTCAAAATTTAAAAAAAAAAAACAGTATTCAAGGCATACAGTGGTAAAATTCCAAACACTAAAGACAAGGAGATAATGCAAACACAATAGGGGGAAATGCTATATGCATATAAAGTAAGAAAAAAATTAAAAAGAAAAAAAATACCTAGACTGAGAGTGATACTCTCAGAAGAATGCATTGATGTACATTCAGCTGAGGAACTGAGTGTTAAAAAACCGCATAATCTTCCAAAATGCCAACACAAAAGTTTTCACAAAGCAGCAGATAGTCTAAAAAGCTACAAAAGAGCTAAAGACAATGTCCTATCTTGATGGGGAAAAGCAGCTTTGTTTAACACACAGTGATAGAGAATCTGAATATCATCCAGAAGTGCACAGCAACATGTTATCAAACAAAAAGGCAGAGACAGATCCCAGGAGAGTAACAATGGCTGACTTCCACGCCACACTCCTATTCCTATTGAGGGACAAATAAGCAAAAGACAACACCAATAAAGGTAGATGGGTAAGTATTAAGGACAGCAGAACTCTGCCTGACTTCTGAGGCAGCACAACTTTGATTCCAATACAAAGTCTATGACATAGCAAAAGCTATACAGCCATACTTCCCATGAACAGGCACATAAACTCCCTAATAATGGATTATGATGTCAAATATAAAACTTTCAGAAATAATCACACATCATATTCAACTCACATTCTCCTGCTTCACCATTTCTAATTCAAAAAGTATGGAAAACAGATCAATGGAAGGAGAAGCAAAAAATGCAAGGCGACCTGAAAACAGTTAGAAACAGCATCAGGTTAGAATGAACAAGATAAAGAGAAAAAAATAAAAACACTTTCACAAAATAGTTATACAAGGAACTCTACTCAAAATATAAAGGATACATATCAAAACCAATTGCCATTCTTACTGCATTGTGGAAAGCTCTGTCTGCTCTCAGACATGAAGCAAACCAAGGACGCCATCATTTGCCAAACTGACAGGGAGGAGAAAGAAACAAATACATGGCACAGTAAAGAAAAAGAGGAAGTCAAAGTAGGCATGGGTGCAGATGACATGATGCTCCCAATGGAACAACCCGGAGGTAAATGTCATCATTGCCCTCCCTCACATCTGCAAACCATGCGAACCATTACCACTGCCACGTGTTCCTCCATCCCTTACCCCACTCTCAGGCATCCCAACTGGTCAGCTTTTCCTTCACCCCACACATCCAAGCAGGCAGCTCTCACAGTTCTAGCAACACCCTAACCTTCTTAGCCAGGAAGGAAAAACAAACAAAACCACTGCCTTCCCTGGCCTACATCTTTCTGAAAGGCCTGATGCTATTGAAACACATTTCTTATAAAGTTCTTAATGTCTGCTTTCCTTTAAAGAGCTGGTTGGCTTCTATGTCCTCAAGAACACAGGGCATGAATGGCAACCCATAGTTTCTCCCAAACCACATGCTCATTGCTCATGTGTACATGTGATTTTTTTTTTTTAAGGATTTAGTTCTTTTTGCTGGAAAGGCAGATTGAAACAAACAAGCAGAGACAGAGAAAGATCTTCAATCTGACAATTCACTGCCCAAATGTGTGCAATGACTAGTAGCTGAGGTGACTGATTGTCACTAGCCTGGAGCCTTTTCTAAGTCTTTCACATGGGTGAAGGATCCCTAGGCTTTGGGCTGTCCTGGCCTTCTTAACCAAACTACAAATAGGAGCTAGATGTGATATTGCAAACACAATGCAAACTGGTAGTCAGATGGGCTCTTGGTGCATCTGAGGTGAGGTTTTATGCTAGGGCACTCACACCTGGACATGTGATTTGTGACCATACCATGCTGACACCCGACATTTGAAACTTTGGGGTGCTTTCCAAACAATAGAAGGAGTGAGAAATTCAATACAAGATCCAAAATATGCCTGCTATTTTGGCCCACTCAATGACATCCCCTATGAGTCTTTTAGGAGACACTTCTGCTTCAATACCAACACCCTCTCTCTAACACTGCAGGAAACAGTTTTCAAAGGGCCCAGTACTTTTGACCATGCCTTTCAGTTTACAGGCTCAGAACAAACTCCAGAATCCCACTTTCTGCCAGCATGTTACATACCTGTTGTGTAACTCACCAGACACAAACAGAACATGTTGTGATGCCTTTCTCTCACACAGATTCCTGCATGAGTGTTCCTTCATGTGTGTGCACTTGTATACATTGTTCACCCTTGATCTCTGCCACCCTGCTTCCACATAACTAACCTACACATTCAAAAGAGATAAACATAAATTATACAGAGGAACACTTATTTTGCTGTATATGAGATACTTCAAGAGTTGGCCAGAAGGATTTTTATTTTCCCCATTCCTCACACTATACCAGAGCCTCCAAGCCAACCAATAGACTATGGACACTGGACTTCTGCTGACTTTTAACTCGCTATAAACCCAGGTTGCCACATGATGCTGGCACAATGCAAGTAATCAGGCTAATGAAAGTTATTTCAACATCAGGGCTCCACAAGCATGGTGATGAATTCATTGAGTCCAAGGCATATGTGTCTTATGATCATATGTGTGTCACCATCCATCCTCACCCCTCAGCTTGAGGGGAGTCAATCTAACCTAAAATTATGAAAGCTGTGTGGCATCCCAACATGCAGAGCACAGCAGCAATTTCCTGCTTCCCATCCAGCCTGGCACAGTGAGGACATGCTCATCAAAACCCCAAGATCACTAACAGTCGCGTTTGCACAAACCTTAACCACCTTGTACTCATGTTATTAACACATGAACAACCAACCACTGTGAGCACCATCTGAGCCAAAGGAATCTCCTCTGGACAGCATGTCGTTCAAGCTCTGTGTCATTTTACACTCACACAGTGTGTTCCCAGTGGCTGTGGAGACAGCAGGCCCTTCCCCATTTCCCAGGGGTGGGGACTGAGGGGTGTGAAGGGGCACCACCGTCAGAAACCAGGCACGCCCACAGGCTGGCAATGAGGGACGTCTCATTCTCTGTGTGGGCCACTGGGAATTTCAGTTGTCTTCTTCTTCCTCCTCCTCCTCCTCCTCCTCCTCATCTTGCTCCACCTCCTGCACAGACCTGGGTCAAGACACAAAGGCAGGGCAGGGTCTCGTGTAGCTCCCGCAAACCCCAACTGTGCTCGTGCTGCCACGGTAGCCGGGCGGGTTACACAGCATGCTTTGCAACCCCGTGCCTCTGCTGCCATGTCCAGCACAGTCGCACTGCGGCCCACTGTGCTCCTGGCAGATGCCACCGTGGTGCAGACACTTGTGCTCCTGCTCCCACTGCCCTCCACACTGGCACCTGGATCCCAACCAAGCCTGAATACCCGCCAACCACACCAGACCCAGCACACATCCCAGTGTGTCTGTCTGCAAGGCAGACAGCCCATGCTTTGACAATGCTCCCGGGCGTGGTGGGGTGCTGGTGGCAGGGGTCAAACGCACTGGCACCAGAGTGCAGCCCTTGGTGTCAGGCAGAGGCAGAAGTGGGCGAGGGCTGGATGCCTGGCTGCAAGAGGGTGGACCCGCCAGCTGTTACGGCAAAGGGGAAGGATTTGCAGCATTCAAGCCTCCCACCTGTGCCATACAGGTGCAGGGGGCCCCTGCGGGGCTCGGGTGAGGGCACGTCCCCTGCCTGGAGGAGGCCTGCTGCCATACTGCTCCCGGCTTCCCAGCCTCCCAGCCGAGGGAACGCTCATGCTCCAGTCCCTGGTCTACGCACCCCACTTCTGGCACGGTTCCCGTGAAGCTGACATCCTCCCTGGGATAGTACAGCAGGGGATTGAGCCACAGGTCCTCGCAGATGATCTGGGTGGAGGGTGGGAGAGGAGCTCAGGCCAGCCTAGAGGTGCTAAGCTCACCTGAGCCTCCCGGCAGGCACCTTGCCCACTGTACTCGTACAGCAGCAGAGCAGCAGCCCACCTCACCGGCACTGGGCCTGTGGTCCTCGCCAACCTCTGGCGGCCAGCTTCCTGAGGCCAGCAAAAGGCTCCAGAGTCGAGTGAGCTGATGCCCATGAAGGGAGGCCTCACCTTGGCAATGCTGTTGGTGCCCGGGACAGCATGGTTCGTCAGCCAATCCAAGAAGCTGGGTGGGCAGGAGCCCGGGCTGTAGCCGGGTGGATCACCGTCACAATCACAGAACCACTGGATGGTGCTGGAACGTGCAGCCCTGTATCCTGCGGGAATGGGATCTGTACAAGGACCCATGGCTGGGCAGGAACCCCACCGAATCGCCTCCACCATCTAGGCTTCCCTACCACGCACGCTCCGACAGTAATCCTTGCAGATCTCGTCATTGCGGAAGTAGGGGTTCTGCCGGAAGCAAAAGCGTATCCTGCACTGCCCCTGGCCACAGCTGAGCTCCTTGACCTGCCAAAGGGAGCACGGTGAGCCCACTGTGCCCAGAGGCACATCCCGCCCCGTCTCCACATCCCCGGCCACACTCTCTTGCTTCCTCCCAGCAAACATCCAGCCCCGGGACCCACTCTCACCACCACCCAACCCCTGCACCAGCAACAACACACACCCGCGGGTCCCCACCTCCAAGCCAATCACGTAGCTCAGCACATCTTCATCCTGCTCATTGATGACGCTCCTCAGCTCGGGGTGGTGTGTAATCCGCTTGGGGTCAAGGAGACACCCGTGGCACTAGTGAACATGCAGCCTGCAGCATGAGTCACACTGCCTTCCCTTCCACAGCCCCGTGTGCTGCCCAACAGGCTGGACCTCAGCTCACCAGGCCTCTGATTCCAGACCTCGCCTCCCTCGAGCTACAGCACCAGCAGCCATGCTCAGGATTACAGGGGTTCCACTGCGGACAACCCCGATGCTCTGCTCTGGGCCGCAGCCTGAACTTGCACTTGCCAGGAGCTGCTCTGCTGCTACCACCTCAACTTCCAGTCCGGCAGCAGTGTGCCTCTGGCTGTACCACACCACTGGATCCTCAGCAGAACATTGCCACATTCCCTTCCCCAGGCCTGGCTAACCACAGCCCTGCACACAGTTTGTGGGTTGGATCCGGCAGGTCTGCCTCAGCTCTCCTGGACCTGTGAGCAAGACCTACTCGTGTGCTGCCCGAGCTGAGTGCAGCTGAGGCTAGCCGAGACCACCTGTGGTGCAGGCTGCTCAGCCCCACACCATGCACAGCCCAACACCCAAGCCATTCAGTCTGAGGGCTGGCTTTCCCCGGGGTGGTTAGTGCCTGGCTTCTGGCTCCCTGCCACAGTGGAGGTGACTCATCCAGTCAGGGCCTTGGCCAGAGCTAAGACTCTCGAGGACTCTGCTGCCCTCCTGCCAACTGCCACACTTTCCCAACACTCCCATCACACACGCACACACACACACACACACACACACACACACACACACACACACACAGCCCGCACACACACAGCCCGCACACTCTGTCAGACTCTCTGTGTCACACACAACCCACCACCCCTGCCCTCCTCTGCCAGCAGGGCCGGCCTGGCACAGCCCCCTGCCCCAGCCAACCCCAACCCCCAGCCCGCCGGGCCCAGCCACACGGCCAACCTGAGCTGGCCGGCAGGAAGGATACGGCTTTGTGCCAGAAAGCCGGGATGGCCCTGAGGATGGCCTTTCTGCGCAGCAGGTACGGCCTGAGCCTCGTCGCCAGCTCGGCCTGCAGCTGCAGAAAAGCCCGCTGGCTCCCTGCACTCAGGGATCTGTGCCGCTCTTCCAGCCACTGCAGCCGCTGCAGCGGGGAGCCCAGACACCCAGGGCCCTGGCCACGCAGGGCCATGAGGCCCTGCACCTGAGCAGCTGGGGAGGGGCCGGCGCGCACGGCCTGTGTGCCTGCCAGGCCCGGGAGCAGCACTGGCTTGCCGCCCAGACCATCCGCCAGGCCCGGGACCAGACCCGCTTGCCTGGCCCCTGCTGGGGCTCGGGACTGGGCCAAGGGCGCAGGCGCCACCGCAGGCGCAGGCGCCGCCACAGGAGCAGGCGCCGCCACAGGAGCAGCAGCAGGCGCACTCGGGCAGCCAGCGCCCCCTTGTGTTCCCCAGAGCACCAGGCGCCCTGCACTCACCAGCGCCAGCAGCCAGCCATGCTGCTGACCTGGCCTTCATGGCGCCCACTGCAGCTGGGGATGCAGTTACAGGGCAGTGGCCTGGCCAGAGTGCCTGTGGCACCTGCGCGCTCCTGCTCTCCATAGCTCACCCCTCCCAAATGCAGCTGTAGCCCACGAGGCCAGCCATGCCTGGACAACTCTCTCTCAATCCTTCCTCCCTCTTGTGCCCTTGACCCCAGAGCTGGCCAGCTCCACTCCCTAGTCAGGTGCCAGGCTGTGATGGGATGCAGCAGCACTGCCAAGAGCCCAAATATTGTGGGGCCTGCACCCAGAAAGGCCACCTGTAGGCCAGGAGGCTAGGGAAGCTGGGCCTGAGACAGAACGACGGGAGTCGGGGGCCGGGGGAGGGAGCAAGCGAGTGGAGAATGTGAGGGCTTGTTGTGTGGAGGCACAGATAGCGTGGGCATGGACGGCAGCGTTGGGCCACCCAAGACCGAAGCCTGCACTGGGAGAGTGGCTGGCAAACCGGCATGCACGAGAGAGAAGGGTCTGCAGAAGGCAGGGGCCGGGGCCACGGGGTCTGGGGAAAGTGGGGCAGAGGAGGCTGTGGGGGCAAGGGGAGGGCAGGAGAACATCTTCTCTTGGAGTGCCTGAGGTCGAGACAACGAGGATATGCCGTGCACCCCTGGTGGCATGCCACCCACCAACGGAGCCCAGGCCTGTTGTGTGGCAGCTGCCCACACATGGTCCCGTGTCGTGGCCCGTGTGCACCCCTGGGTGGCCAAGGGCCTCCCGATGCCAGCCCGCTGGCCTCTGCTAAAGCCTGCCTGGCACTTTGCCCACACAACCTGCCCCGGTTCCTTGCTGCTCTTGCTGCTGCCTAGAGCACACTAGGGCAGGGTCCAGGGGTGGCAGTGCTGGGCAGAGACGACACCCCGGCTAGGCAGCAGCATGCCCTTCCTAAACTCAGGCCAATGGCCAGCATTCTGCCTGCCATTATTTCGGTCTGGTCTTTCCCGAAAGAACCAGAGGCCATCCGTGAGCGCCTGCAAGAGGAGTATGCTATGGCGGCACTTGGGCCGGCGGTCTTCCACGCCTAGGCCTGACACAGCGTCCCCTGAATCTCTCAAGTCACTCTGGCCTTGCTGGTCGCTGGGTAGGGACACTGGGCACATGCACACCACAGGCAGTTCTCCGGTGGGGCCAGAGATTCCCACGGGGCGGGTCCCACTCCCAGACAGCGGCAGCAGGCGGACCAGACCCTCTTGTTGGGCCTAGTGGCCACCGCAGCCACTAGGTGGGCTCTGCTTTGCCTGTACCACTTCCCTGCTGCCCCAGGCCGGTCCAGGGGGTGTCACGGTGCTGACCGTCCAGCCGGGCTTGCTGTATACCTGCAAAGTCTGGGTGCACCTGGGATTCGTCTGTGTGGAGCACAGGTCCCCAGTGGGCCAGCCCCATGGACGCCAATGCTGAAATGCAGTCCGAGGCCTTCCCATGGAGGCAGCTCCAGTACTTCCAGACCTAGGCCCGGCTCCTTGTCACCTGTGAGACACAGTGACGCATCCCCAACACATTCCCATAAGGCACCCTGTGGGAACCATGGTCAGAACACGTTCAGGAATGCTGGGCCACCCGGGAGGCATGGATGGCATATTTGCCACGTTCCATGCTTCACGGGGAGCTGCCCCAGCTGCCCAGAGAGCGCCCTGGACCCACACATGCCCTGCGCGCCAGCCAACACACGGGCTGAACACATGTCCCCAGTGAGGCAGGCTTCCTCTCACATTGAAAGCGGCAAGCTCCCTGGCTTGCTGCCTCAGTGGCTTCCCTTTTGGGATTTCAGGGTGTCGCAGCCATTGAGCCCCACACACATGCCGCCACACCCACCCGCCCTGTGTGTGTGGCACGGCCCCTCCTCACCCCTGGGCTTGAGGGGAGCCATTCTACCTTACCATTGTGGAAGCCGTGACTGCTCCACCCATGACCAGCACAGGAGCACTGCCTGGGTCCCAGCCGGCCTGCCACAGAGAGGGCCTGCCACAGAGAGCGCTGTGACCACCCAGGGCTGCTGCTGCTATTGCAGGCACAACCCCTAACCACACCTTGCACACACGTGCACCTCACAACCACTGTGAGCACCACCCGAGCCAAAGGAATCTCCTCTGGACAGCATGTCGTTCAAGCTCTGTGTCATTTTACACTCACACAGTGTGTTCCCAGTGGCTGTGGAGACAGCAGGCCCTTCCCCATTTCCCAGGGGTGGGGACTGAGGGGTGTGAAGGGGCACCACCGTCAGAAACCAGGCACGCCCACAGGCTGGCAATGAGGGACGTCTCATTCTCTGTGTGGGCCACTGGGAATTTCAGTTGTCTTCTTCTTCCTCCTCCTCCTCCTCCTCCTCCTCATCTTGCTCCACCTCCTGCACAGACCTGGGTCAAGACACAAAGGCAGGGCAGGGTCTCGTGTAGCTCCCGCAAACCCCAACTGTGCTCGTGCTGCCACGGTAGCCGGGCGGGTTACACAGCATGCTTTGCAACCCCGTGCCTCTGCTGCCATGTCCAGCACAGTCGCACTGCGGCCCACTGTGCTCCTGGCAGATGCCACCGTGGTGCAGACACTTGTGCTCCTGCTCCCACTGCCCTCCACACTGGCACCTGGATCCCAACCAAGCCTGAATACCCGCCAACCACACCAGACCCAGCACACATCCCAGTGTGTCTGTCTGCAAGGCAGACAGCCCATGCTTTGACAATGCTCCCGGGCGTGGTGGGGTGCTGGTGGCAGGGGTCAAACGCACTGGCACCAGAGTGCAGCCCTTGGTGTCAGGCAGAGGCAGAAGTGGGCGAGGGCTGGATGCCTGGCTGCAAGAGGGTGGACCCGCCAGCTGTTACGGCAAAGGGGAAGGATTTGCAGCATTCAAGCCTCCCACCTGTGCCATACAGGTGCAGGGGGCCCCTGCGGGGCTCGGGTGAGGGCACGTCCCCTGCCTGGAGGAGGCCTGCTGCCATACTGCTCCCGGCTTCCCAGCCTCCCAGCCGAGGGAACGCTCATGCTCCAGTCCCTGGTCTACGCACCCCACTTCTGGCACGGTTCCCGTGAAGCTGACATCCTCCCTGGGATAGTACAGCAGGGGATTGAGCCACAGGTCCTCGCAGATGATCTGGGTGGAGGGTGGGAGAGGAGCTCAGGCCAGCCTAGAGGTGCTAAGCTCACCTGAGCCTCCCGGCAGGCACCTTGCCCACTGTACTCGTACAGCAGCAGAGCAGCAGCCCACCTCACCGGCACTGGGCCTGTGGTCCTCGCCAGCCTCTGGCGGCCAGCTTCCTGAGGCCAGCAAAAGGCTCCAGAGTCGAGTGAGCTGATGCCCATGAAGGGAGGCCTCACCTTGGCAATGCTGTTGGTGCCCGGGACAGCATGGTTCGTCAGCCAATCCAAGAAGCTGGGTGGGCAGGAGCCCGGGCTGTAGCCGGGTGGATCACCGTCACAATCACAGAACCACTGGATGGTGCTGGAACGTGCAGCCCTGTATCCTGCGGGAATGGGATCTGTACAAGGACCCATGGCTGGGCAGGAACCCCACCGAATCGCCTCCACCATCTACGGCTTCCCTACCACGCACGCTCCGACAGTAATCCTTGCAGATCTCGTCATTGCGGAAGTAGGGGTGAGTTGCAGATCCCTCCAGGGGGCATGAGCAGCAGGTCTTCACTCCTGAATTGCTACACAGGCAGTAACATCTACCTGCCTAAGTTTGGCATTGATATTGATGTGATAGGATTATCTAGGCTCTATAACTCATTGATATGGTGTAAGTCAAGTGGGGTCATATATCTCATATATATATATACTCAGTCATATATATATGACTGAGGCAGTCTTGAGAGTTTCTGAGAGTTGTTGCAATATGCTGAGGTTCTTGCTGGTGTGCATGTTGGACAAATATGTGGTGAGCAGAATGGGCTGGGTCATAGCACTCAATGGTTTGCATGGGGGATGAGCCTGGCACAGAACAAATCAGGCAATTGCAAAGCCTATGCACTGATATGTGGAACTGACATAGCCTGACTCCATAATGCCTGGTACGCACAATAATCATGTCTGGGTCACCTCTGGCAACACGAAAGAAACACGCACATGCACACATGCACACACACACACCAAGAACATTGGAACAAAAACTCCTAAGCATGGGGAAATCACAAGATCTGCTTCTGATCATGAAACGCATGTGTTAAACCTGGACCTTCTCGGTTTCTGTGTCCTGTAAAGTAGACACCATGCTTAACAGCACAAGGCCGATAGTAGATATCATTGATGCTTACCAAGATGTCTAATAAGACAGCAGATGAGGGAAGGAAGAACAAACTGAACAACTCTCCTGGCCAAGTTTGACATCAAGTGTCTGGGCCACATGGTGCCTGTAAGCTGGATTATGTCAGTCAAAGAGCCCTGAAGAATTTCCTCAACCTTGGATCAATGAAATCAACAGTATCCCAGAACTGTGGAAAATATTTAGGCAGTACCCTTGGAACATGCTCCATATCAGGGACTCTAGGATGACATCCAGGGACAAACACAGCAACATAAATACTCATGTGCTTCAGCCAAAAGGAACAGGCTTCTCCCACCTTCCCCCTAGATACAAGAATGAAAAAAAAAAAAAAAATGGAAACAACTGGATCATGCACTTTTCCTTATTGGTCAACCCTTCCCACCTGATCTGTGTCTGCATGAGCATGTATGTATGCCTTTCCCATTGCTAAGCATCTTCAGAAACCTTTAAATGCTGAAAAAAGAAAAAAAGAAGATCCAACATGAAAATTATCACGTTTTCTGACCAGAATCAAAAATACAAGAAATGAGGAACAGACATACACAGTTCAAGGTATTTATTGCTTCCTCAATGCTATACTGAGTTAATATAGCTGTGTACAAGTATCTTCATCACCTCTGCATTTTCTTTCAAAAGTTTGTTGTCTGAGACAATCATGCATATTCTTCTTTAGAGTATTTTTTAGATGAATACATTTCCAACACATTTAATCCAAAATCTTGAAGTCCTCTGAAAGAAACAAATACATAAGGACAAGTGTTTTCCCAAAATACTAAACTTGTTTCACCTGCTCAAGGGTATGCATAAGAAGTTCTGCTGTCCTCATGTGAGAGCACTGTACATTACAGCTCCCACCATAGATCATATCACTATCTGTATTAACCCAGAGATTTAACTCCCCAAAATAAAACAGACAAACGCTATAAAAATCTAAATTCAACAGACACTCCTAAGGGGCAGGTCATGGCTATTTGCAGAAACATGGACAAACAGAGTATGCTGAAACAAAAATACAACTTGATGCTATGGGGATGATAGACTGGGTGGCCTGGTAAGCATGAACGCAGCAAAGTGAAGCTAAACAGCCATATTCAGCCCTATTACCTAGTTTATCACTGTGTGTGATTGTCCTCAGATACTGGCTATCTTTATCAAATGTATGCAGTAACTGTTTCAAAATAATAGAGAAGACGGTGAAATGAGGACATGGATGGCCCTGGAGGTCCTGTGTATGTCAAAACCTTTTTTCCTCTAATTTCAGCTGCTCTCCAGGACAAATGACTATATGTCCAAAGACAAGCTCTTCAGCTCCAACTCCTGGACTACTCACCAGCCTTCTCAATGCTGCCTCCAGAATTCTGGGACCCATAGTAGTATGGTAAGGGATTGAGCCAAATGTCCTTGCAGATGATCTGGAAGGGACAGGAACAAGTTAGTGTACTGCAGGTTTCCATTTCTTGTTAGTCCAGGAATTCACCAAAATGACTATGTATGACTATGAGCACCCACCTCAGCAATCCTAGTAGAACCCACAAAGGTATGGTCTGCAAGCCAGTTGAAGATGCTGAGACTGTTATTATAATGTCTGATGCTGCGGGCCTCATGTCTGTAATTGTGGAGCCACTTAACAGGAGTGGAATGATATGCTGCATATCCTGCAGGAAGAAAAAACAGGAGAGGGTGAGATCACACTGGCATGACTTGAACCTCATGTCCAACACTTAGTCCTTGAGAAACTTCTCACCATGGCTGTTGGTCAGATATTCCTTAACAATCACTTTATTAGAGAAGTAGGGGTTGATCCCAAAGAATAACATGATCTTGTGGCATTCACTGGGATTCTCCAATTTTTCCACCTGCACAGATAAAGCCAGAATGCTAATTTTTCACCTTAATTTCGTAGTCATGATTTCCCATGAACAATTACATCACAGTGTCTTTTAGGCACACCACCGGAAGATCCCGGAACTCACCTGTAAGTTGATCATGTAGCTAAGGATGTCTTCATCTTTGTCACGGACCATGGCTGACATCTGTGGATGATTCACAAACTGCCTATGTCAAGGTACATAAACAGTTTAAAAAGCTTTTTGAATGGAAACATTGTCTGGGAGTGCATTAGTGTTTTAGTCTGTAGAGAATTCTTTGCACCATTCTGTGACCCTCAGGTGGATTTAGCTAAAACTTCGAGTGCCTCACCAGTCAACATGGCATACCAGTCCTCTTTAGCACAGTGCTCTCTTGTGAAGAGAACGGAAATTTCATTATATCTGGGATTTTAAAAACTACATTTCCACAGGGCTAACGCTACAAACAACTAAAACTCTCCATTGTAAAAACCAGATAAAAGGATACAACTTTGGCCCAGAAGCCAGGCATTTCCTGAATGATCATCGCTCTGCGTTCATGGAGAACCTTGCGCCTCAGCATCATATTTTTTCTTAGCCGTTCATGGGCCCGAGCTGCTTCACGGTTGACAGGCTGCATGTCGATTTGCAGTGCTGCCAGTTGCTCCAGAACAGGTTGGAGGGCCCTTGACCCAAATGCCGGTGGGGCCTGCTGGTTCTCATGCCGCCTTTCCTGGTGGGCAACACAGACTGCTAGGAGCTCCTGCTCCTCTCCTCCTCCTCTGCTCACCTCCCTCCAGCACGCTCCTCCCACCTCCTGCTCAGCCACTACCCCAGCACCTTCAAAGTACACAGCAGCCATGTTGATGCTGCTGCCGCCCAGCAGGGCCGGACTCTCTCCCTCAGCTCACAGACCTCACTTTCCTGGGGTTCTCCTCAGAACGGACACAGGGCCCCTTTTCCCAGCAATGGACACAAACCGCCTGGCACCTGACGGCAGTGGTAACTGCGCAGGCCCTGCCGCCTTTCCTGCGAGGAGGCTCCATGTAGGGCCTCTTTCCTAAAGCCCCTCTTGGCCCTTCTACCCGCCCCGCACCACAGCCATACTCCACCTCAGTGGATTCTGGGCCCGGGTCTGCAGCTGTTGCCATCCTGAAAGGAGCGTGTGGGGAATGTCCCGACTTCTCCCTGCCTGAACACTGCCCGGGTCACCCCAGGGCCCCGCACTGTCTCCCGGAAGTGGCGACAGGCCAACGCCAGGCGCATGCGCAGAGATCTCGGCGTTGACGCGGGGCGGGGCGACGCAGTGCGTGGAGTGGACCCCCGACCCACCCCCAGCGTGCTGAGCTCTCCCGGGAAGTGCGGTGTGCGAACAGGAAAGCGAGTGTGTCAACCTGAGCCTGGCCCCAGGCTCCCTGTGCACAGGGAGGGGAGCCTTTGCGGGGTGTGCCCAGCTCAGCCTTGTACCAGGGATGCAGGGTGCGGGTGAAGGGGGCAGACAGCAGCCCTCCTGTCTGACACGGGCTGCCTGGGTTCAGCCCTGCTGCTGGGCCATGTTTCTGGTGCAGGCATGCTGAGGCAGCCATTGTGGGTCAGCTGGAAGAAAAGCATGTGGAAGGACACGTGCCCAGAGTGGGCTAATATACGATTGCTCTGGTGGTGGGTCCTGGGTGGCTTTGGTGGGCTCCCTGCCCCACCATGCTGTGGGTTGCTGGATCCCCTGTCCTTAAGATCTCTATTTGGATTACTGGGCCTGTGGTGCAGACAAGTTCTTTGGGAATGTGGGATTCTTGCCGCCTTCCCGGCCTGGTCTTCACATTGCAGGCAACTCAATGTTAACAGAGTTGCCAAGCTCGAGGTTTTCTTTTCTTCCCATTTCTTCCCCCCCGCCCTCTTTACTTTTTAAAGATGTATTTGTTTTTTGTCAGAAATGCAGATAAACAGAAAGGAGGAGAGAGACAGTGAGGAAGGTCTTCCATCTGTAAGGTCACTCACTCCACAAGCTACCACAATGGCTGGGGCTCCGCCTATGCGAAGTCAGGGGCCTCTTGCAGGTCTCCCGCTTACGTGCAGGGCCCAAAAGCTTTCGGCCGTTCTCGATTGCTGTCCCAGGCCACAAGAAGGGAGCTGGATGGGAAGCAGGACTGCCAGGATTAGAATCCGTGCCCATTTAGGATTCTGGCACTTTCAAGGCAAGGACCTTAACAGCTAGGGTATCATGCTGGGCCCCAAGTTCAAGGCTTTCAATCACAGCTTGTGCCGCCGTGATGCTCAAGGAACTTCCATTAACCTGCTTACTTGCATTGGGCAAGCGTCACCTGGCAACCTGAGTTTTCCGCCAGGTAAAAGTTGACTGAAGTCCAGCGTCCATAGTGCATTGTGTGTGGGGGAGGCGGGGGTATAGTGCGAGGAAGGGAGGAGTAAAATTCCTTTTGGCTCACTTTTGGAATGTCGCATATACAGCAAAATAAATGTTCCTCCAT